TTCCAACCCATTAAAAATTGGCTTGATATGTAACCCAATTGACTCATGAGAAATCTTGTCAAAATAATTTTAAAAAACTTTTTCTTCAATTTGATATGTCATATATATATATATATATATATATTTTGATAACCAAGAAAACCGTTTGTGACCCTCCTTTTGGACCAATCACAGCCTTCTAAACTCGGTGGATAATGGGCTCGCCTCTCTACCCTTCTCCACTTAAATACCGGGCTTCGCTTTGCATGGTGTGGGGCTTGAACCTGCGACCGAAGCCACAAATCCTCCACCTTCTGCCACTTGAGCTAGGCCTTGGGGGCTATTTTATTTCCTTTTTTGAGAGATGTATTGCAAAAAAAATCACAAACTTGACTCAAATTATTAATTTCGTCTCTTAACTATTTACAGTTTTAAAAACACTCTTTTACTTGACTAACTAAACTTAGATACACCATCGATCTATAACATAACATAACAAGTGGTCACAAACTCTTTTAGGAGCATATGGCTCTTAATAAAAACTGAAGTGGTGAAAACATCCCTAAACTTGACGACAATTTAAGAGTATATTTCACTCATGTTGCAAGATCGGAATTATTTAAGTTCAGTTAATCAAGTAAATATGTGTTTTTAAGACTGTCAATATTTTTAATAATGAAACTAATGATTTGCGCAGAATTCATGAGCGATTTCAATACTTTCCTCTTATTTTTTTCCTAATAATAAGATAAATTCACCCACATGGTTCCCCCCACCCCCCCAAAAAAAATCACCAATACACTAAGGAACTAATAATTAAAAAATAAACCAAAGAAAATTAGCAAAAATAAATAAATAAATAAGGAAACGCTTATTGTTCTTCCTAAAATAGGACGTTATTTCTCAAACATTAATGGAACCAATTATAGTAACCAAACAAATTAGTAAAAAAAAAAAATCCAATATAAAAGTTGAAAAATGTAAATGGAAGCAAATACTAGAAACTTAGAAAGTTTTAATCTTGATATAGAAAATTTTTAATAATGAACCTTTCTTTGAATGAGTCATACCCCGATGAATTCAAATTAGTCAAACTTTAACTAGAGTTCCAGCCTCAAATAAAATAAAAATATTTTTTTTTGAGAGAAATACAAATACGAGTAAAAATAGAAAAACAATTACTATCAAACTTAGTTTAGAAAATTAATTAAAATATTTTGGTTGATATAAAAAAAGAAAAAGAAAAAAAGAGTAGGAGTATTATATTATGGTCCCATAGAGAGTCCACGCGGACACTTTATATGGTTCTTGAAATCGTCATTCTACCCCCCCAAATTCTCCACTTTCTTTGGGGAAGAATAGAGTTCTACTCCTTTAACACTTGTGTTGAGAGTAAGAGATTTTATCAGTTTTATTCAAATCTAAGTTTATTTTATTTTTTAAAAAAAAACAATTTTCATGAGGAGTTAGTAGGAGACAGAAAGGGATTATATGTCGTTTGTGATCACAGGTGTAACTGATCTGGCTTAGAGCTTCTGAAAAACTTTGCCTTTTTTTTTTTTTCTCATTCACTGTTGTGTTTTTGTTTTCTTGGTTCAATTTTGTAGGCAAGAAAAGTGTCTCTTACCTTCTTCCATGATTTTCTAGACCAAAAAGGTATGATCTTGATCTTTCAATTTGTATTTTATAACATATATCTATGCATGTGATGTATGGTGTTTGTACAAATTCTTGTTTATGTATGATTTACATGATTTTGTTTGTACATTTTTCAAAAGGAAAAGATTTACAAGATTTGTTTCTTGTATTAGTACTTGTGAGACATGGGGTTTAAAGGGTTTTTTGTGTTTTTACAGGAAGACTTGTTTTGGAGTTGAGTGCTTTGAGGCTTTTCATGTGAAAAGGTTCTGTTTTTCTAATTTGGCTGTAGAATTTCTGGGGTTTTCTTGGGACTGACGATTTTACCAGAAATTTAATTCTTGGTGTTGGTGGAAGTGAAAGGGTTTAGGGTTTATCTATTTTTGCCCCAAAATTGTTAAAGATATGAAGTTGGAAAAGGATGTTAAAAGGGAGAGGGTGATGGATGGTGGCATTAGTTCAGTGAGGAAAGTTCGAATCATCTATGATGATCCTGATGCTACGGACTCTGAGAGCGATGATGATCGTTTTGATAAAAATGTCAGTAGAATCAAGCGTGTTGTTAAGGAAATTGTTATTCCTGTTGTTTCATGGGAGAAGGAGTTTAAAAAATGTTGTAAACTTGATGACATTGGGATTAAAGATTCCAAGAAGATTCATGAAAATAAGAAGGTGCAGCTAAAATCGTCCGCTTTGCCTAAAGGAGTTAGGATGAGGAAATGGGGGAAATATGCAGCGGAGATCAGAGATCCCTCGCAGGGGAAAAGAATATGGTTAGGGACTTTTGAGACTGTGGAGGCGGCTTCACAAGCATACGAGGCAAAGAGGGCTGAATTTGATAGAATAATTTCGTTGGGAAAGGGTAAGAATTTGAGCTCTGCTCCTCCTGCTGAGTGTTCATCTCATCCGATAAATGGGAAAAATCATGTGTACTCACACCCATCCCCGTCTTCGGTGCTAGATGTTCCCACATCATCAGCTGCTGCCCCGCTTGAGTCCAATGACAATCCAACGAGAGATATGGCTCAAATGCCAGATTCAGGTTTTAACTTGAGTTTTGAGGATCAAATGCTTCATGAATTTATTAACCAGGGAAGACAGGGCATTTCAGAATTGATGGAACATCCTTTGATAGAACAAGGCTCCATTAGCAATAGCCTTGTGGAGATGACTCAAGTGAATATCAAGAAGAAAACGATAACCAGACCACCAACCATACCAAGTTGTAAAAAATTAACAAAGGGGATTGAGGACCACCGCAATGACAAGTCCATTTTCAGTGTATTAGATAAGCCTCCAATCATGTCTCCTTGTATTCGTACAGAGCTGCTTAACTTGAACATCGAGGAAACAGCAGTTATGGGGAATAACTTGAAACTTCTAGGCTTTGATGACAATGCTTTATTTGATAAAGATTTAGCACAAACGTTTGATCCATATACAGATGCTATAGCCTTGGACAGCACTTTTCAATGCTGTGATGGTTGGAATGAGTGTGTTTATTGCAAAGTTTTCACAGATGAAGTTGACCTAGATGAAGTTGACCTAAGATGGTTAGAAAATGTTTTGTTATAAGATCAAATCAGCAAGTTGAAGAAGAGTGTTGTAAAGTCGAAAATGTGGGCAATGAAGGGGGTGGTTCTTGGGATTTTTCTCCTTTGCTCAAAAGATGTTCCCAATGAGCGGGAAGAGGAAATTCTATTCATGTTGTTAGCTATTGCTAATTATCAATATATTTGAGCAATTGTGTAATGCTTAGATATGTTACATTATGCACATATTTTCTTGATTTCATGTGGAGAATCTGAAAGGTGAAAGGTAGAGCCCCTTCTTTTGCTTTTTCTTTTATCTTTCATTAGGGACTCACCTTTTCATGTTTTCCAGAAAAGAAAAATAAAATCGACCCGAATATGTATTTTTGTATGCGATAGATGATCTTTTGCTTTCGTTCTAGTTGTGGGTGGTTCAAATTGTGGCACGACCGGAACTTATTTACTTTGATGCTATGAAATATTTTCTGAAAATGATGGATATCTACCATTTTATGAGCCAAGTAGAATAGAAATATCAAAAGAGGCAAGGAATTACTTGGTGGAGGATGACACAGAAGATCATATTACTCGTTAGGTAATAAATGTGTATTTCAATTTTTGAAATTTTAACTGAAAATTCATAAATAGTTTCAGATACGTCCAAGTTTATTAAAACAATTTTTCAGAAAAGCACAAAGTTAGCAGCTTTTTAAGGTATGACAAGGTCAAATGTAGAATACTATGTTTTAAATTAGCAGTTGACTAGATATTTGAACGATGTGACAATCTCTCCTTTTAAGGTTGCAACTTACCATGTTTCTTCACAAGTTACAATGAATAGTGCATTCTTTTGTTGGAAACAAACAGAAACAGTTTTCTTCAGATGAATCCAGCAAAACTATAATTCAGATGGTTTTATTATATTTAATAAAACATTTATTTTATAATTAATAAATCACTAAGATGAAGAGGACAGACAATGGATAGTCTTTTCAATCCCTTTAATGTATCTTCGCCAGTTTCCGTTCCTTCCCATGTTCCTCCTTGTACACTTATGTTCCTTTTGTTTGCGCGAGATTCTTCTATGCACCGATGAATTATCCAATGAAGCAGTATGTCACGCATGATGGACCTTCCAAATTGTATTTCAACTTTTAACTTAAATCGAAAGGAATAGTCAAGTCTCACTCCCTTCATCAGTGAAAGCCAGTTCACACACTAGAGAAAGATGATCACTTCCCCATTTCTGCAGAAACAAAAAAATTGAATAAGGTTCTTCTTCTTTGTGATGCATAAGAAGTTGATCTTAGCCCAGAAAACTTTACGCACTGAGATTGCGCCTTCTGAAAGTTAATCGTCTCTTAGCTTTCATCAATATTATATTCTCTACGGAAATAACTCACGAGGCTATTACCTTACCTCACTAGGAAGCCCTCTTGTTCTCCTTAAAATATCAACAGGTAAGGTATCAAGAACTCGTACTGGAACAAACTCTGTTGTGTGCCTGCATCACCTCACAATGTTTAAAAAGGAAACTACCATTGACGTATGGTAGTAATACTCAATTTCAGGTAAATGCACTGCTCCTCATAAGTAAAATGTACCATATATAGTCGACAGTTCCCATAAACTTGGAATGATATGATGTTGCCAAGGGTTCTCCAGAGTTTTCCCTGGTTCTAGAGCTTCCCTAAATATTTAAATACAGACTTATAAAAGCAACACAACATAGAACTAAAGTTCTATAAACTGAAACCTGTTTTACATGAACGAAGTAATAAGCAGGTAAGAAATTTTGAGAAAGAAACATATTAACCCCATGGGATTATCTATCTCACCTTCTATGTGGGATATCCGGGATTATTATACTTATCCCACCAACCAAATGACCCTTAAGCATACGAAGTTCGATATTAAGCTCATAAAATTTCTACACATAATTCTAAAGAAAACTGCTAAAATTGAGTGCAGAAATACTACTAGGAAAAAGGACAACAGAAGGAAGCCAGAGCAGGGGGAAAAAGTGTTCTTGCCTCCCTCCACCCCCACCCCCCAAAGAAAAAAAAAAGTACAGTGAAAGAATAAAAGGGGGGACAAAAAACAAAAGAGAACGAAGAATAAGAAGGAAAAAGGAAGAAAGAGATAGTGAAGAATAAGACGGTAAAGGAAACTATCCCCACTCTTTTCATGCTCTTCTTTTTTCCGACTTTCTTCTCTATTTGTTCTGGTTTTGCCATTTTCCCTCTTCCCTTTTCCCTTATAATGATTTCCTTTTTTTCTCTCCTAACCTTTCTTTACTTTTACTTCCAAGGGGAAATATACCCTTCCTGCTCTAAATTTTAACAGTTCCGGATTGAGAAATTAACAAAGTGGCCAAGGGAAACAACAGTTTAGGTGCAACCCTTTTTGAAAATAAAATAAAATAAAATTTTAATTGACGTCAAAGTATGTTGGTGTTCCCTGAATTCAACAACTGAAGATAAATCTTTCACATTATCAACTACACAATGGCAGATATCCATTAAAAGAATTAGAAAGCGATGAAATTTGGAAAGAAGAAAACATACAGGAGCTCCAGCATAGGCACTGCGCAGTTGTAACTGATGTATCAAGTGACTAGCTCCTGTTCCGGTAGCAAGCATTAGCTCTTCATTACTCCATCTATAACTTAATCTGTTCAAGGATTATAGGATTTCATGCATGTGCAGTTACTATTTGTTACTTAGCCACTTAATGTTAAAGTTAGAACTATTTGATACTTAAAATTGGCAAAGCAAAAATTAGGTGCCCAGAAATAATACAACACACATAAAAAGAACCTCGGGTTGAAGCTTCTATTTTGCAATGGATAAATTTGGCCAGAGATTTGCTTTCGGTCATGCATTTGGATGTCCAACTGTGCCAAATGCCACGTGATTTAGAAATTGCAAAAACTTAAAAAAAATGCAAGTGTTTTAAGGTAGCTGTCTCACCTTATTTGAAGTCAAAAACTGATACATTGCACTCTAAGCAGCAACAAATAGAAAATTAGATCTGCAAGCTTCAAAATATAACATTTCCAACTTTCCAGAGTAGGTAGATTACCTGAGGCATACTATTTAGATCTCCAGCAAGCACGACTGGTATATCACCCCATTCATGAGATAGCCTCTGGGCACTCTCAAGAAAGAGTCTAACCTATTACATTAAAAAATTAGTTGCAAGAATCAATTAATCCATAACAGCTATAACCAACTTTATTGAAACTTTCCCTGATAAAATATTAATAACTTATTTAAAATTTTCTCATAGTTCGAGATTGAACTACAGGAACATTGTCTATTCCGAATAAGTCTAGGTAAGACTTCTTGATCAGAAAAACAATAAGTCTAGCTAAGTTTTTTCATGTTAACCCACAAATAGCCACATTCTCTTCATTATCCGCATTTCATGTCAACAGATTATTTCTAGTTCTTTGAAACTTTATCTCTACAGAATCACCCTTTCAAACCAGTTAAAGATTTAGATCATGAAATTTAAATTTCACATGAAGAGTGAAAAAAGTATAGAACAACTAACGTTTAAGCAAAAAAAAACAAGGGAAGTGCTATGCAAGCTTTAAGAATCCAATTGGAGACACTCCTTACAAAAATAAATAGAGAGAGAGCTGCTATAGGACAGATAAAATTGTTGGTCCTGGAACCAAATTCAGTGACACAGTCACACCACTAGTCTTTGTTAAGGAGGCAGATGTAAACATGCATCAGGTAAAGTGAAGACGCTTTCGTAAGGAATTGAAGAATTAAACCAACCCCCAAGCAGAATTACTCCTGCTTTATTCAAATTAAATGGAAAAAAACTTCCAAGCATAAAAGAGGCGAAATACCATTCAGTCCTACGTGCCTAAACAAAACTATAGTTTTATTTGGAAGGGGGGGTTTAAAAGGGGTGGAGGGGATGGGTTATTGGTGCTGGCAGTAAAATATAAAAAGCTAAGTTAACGGAATATTCATTCAAGTGTTTAGCGACAATACTATTATCCAAAGTACTAAGTTGCTTCGTCATAAAACAATTAAACATTAGTTGTTGCTGAAAACTTATACCTGTCCCAACTTGATGTCTCCACGATTGGGGTTGTAGAGTACGTGAATATTGCCAACCAAAAAGCTTGGCGAGGTTACACTCCTAACCACAAACATTCGAACAACCATAACATTTGACCAGAATTGAGAAACTGAAACTAAAATTTACATAAACTAAGTAAACACAAAGCATCATACAAAATTCAACATTTGAGAATAACAATAAAATAGAGCAGACTTACTCCGAATTTGAAGCACTCATATCCTTGCTTGAGCTTTTCACATTCATCTAAAAGTTAATGAAAAGAACTACAGATCAAAACAGATACCAGTTGAGCATTAGAGTAAAATCAACTCTTTGCGACCATCTTGTAGTGTGCAAGGGAAATAAGAGCAGGCTTGCATGATACTCTAAGAAATTTCATATAACATCCATGTCCAGAACAGAGACGATGAAACGATATATCCTGTCATGTCATAACATGTGTAGAGTGTATGCATGTCATGACACCACACCTGAGATTAGAAACCTATTTCTTTAAGTAAGATTAAAAATGCCTGATAAGATGAAGATGCAGCTGTCTCAAAGAGAGGGTAAATCCAGAAAAAGACATGTTGTTCTGCACTGCAGCAAACCGATTTGTTTGATCAGCTGATTTTGCTAAGTACAAACTACCAAAAGCAACATTGTCTAGTAACTTATCAAAATAATAAGCACACTGGAAGTGCCAAACAAAGAGATCAGACAAATTAAAAGTGACGCCTCCAATAAATTGAGCACAGCATCACGACACTGGGCAAAATACTATCCCTAGTGCAAAGACACTCTCCCCCCCCCCCCTTAAAAAAAAATGAAACTATCAATGAAATGCATGGCAGGTTTACCTTGAAAGCACAAAGTTGGCAAACATTATTGCGAAGATTAAAATTCTGGAATTCTATGCTCTCCTCATGCAGAATGTCAAATCTGTAACCAGATATATATTTGTAAACTGAGAGTAGCATAAATTAGATAAGAAAAAAGATGGAAACGATTAAAGCAGTCATTTTTCAATCTCCATAGAGGTAGCCAAAAATGACAAGCAAAAACTGCAGCTTTTGCCCGCAGGTCTTCATATCCCATAAAAAGAACCTAGCTTAGTAAGCAACAAGAAAATCAGAAAGAAATTAAGAAAGAATCAAGACCATACAGTTTGCTGTTCCAAAATATTGCACAACCATCACTTGCATCACCTGTACGAGCCTAGTAAAGGAAAAAAAAACAGGCATTTGATTAAAAAATGTGACAAAGAATTCAACACACAGTCATCCATAAAAAAAGCTCCACTACATTGTACCTGATAAACCCCTTTGAAGCCCTCTTTCTGGAGGAGATAATCCAAATCATCAAAACGGTCAACCTCCTGCAGATATACAAGTAGAAATAAGTTTCTCTAAAATAGTTGAACATCTACATAATGTGTTCAGACAGTAATTCAAACTTTCTCGGCAAGAAGATAGTGAAATAATAATTACGATGTTTTTATTTGGATAATCGAGAAATCAGTTGTTTACAACTTCCAACTCTATGAATAATGCATCCGAACCTCTTTCACATTGAACCAAATCATGGGTGCATCTTTTAGGATGTTAATTTTTATAACATATATGTTAGGTTTTCTTAACTTCTTAGCTCTATTTTCCTCTCCTTCCCTTTTATGATGAATAATTATACAGAAAGCTACAAACTTTGAAACTAAAACTTACCTGGAAACACATTATACCCGGATTATAGTCCCTAATTTCTTTGCATATAAGCTTCTTCCGGTAGTCCCAATCCAAATATTTTGGAGAGACATTGCGGTACAGGTCCTCATGTGCTGCAGCATTTTTTACCCCTAGTATATTATACGACATAAAAACAACTCTATCTGCAAAATTAAGATGATTATTCAGACACAATAAAGGCGGATACACATTTGCCAAATAAAAAATAAAAAATAAAAAATTATAGGATTGCAGACACATTAAAGACTAAATATAGAAGAACCAGTGAAATTTCTTATCAATTGGTAACCTTGATTTGGGGAAACGACGTGAGTAGAGTAAACCCACTTGCGCTTATCATCTGCAATTGCCCTCTTTGCTTTTCCTTTATGCCGTTTTTCTTTGCCCCTACTGTACGAGTATGAGTACGAATTTGCATATGAATGTGTATAAGAAGTGGAAGTATGATTTAGGGTTAGGGTTGCAGTTTCCGTTTCAGTTTTACTTATTGATACTCTTTGCTTCTTCTTGCTACGGTGTTTACCAATATCATGTTGACTAATTCTACTTTTCATTGAAGCTGAAAACCGAGAAGGCTGTTCCGCCGGTGGATCTCTGCCGTCGCCGGTTCGGCCCATGTTGCCGGGAGATTTGAATTTGGGCGGCGCGTGTTTAACCTTTTATAGGACGAATAGGGGTGAAACTAAAAAGACATAAATACTTTCGCATATTAGAAAAAAAAAATTGTCCACGTTATTTGTAAATAATGACAATTAAAACGTTTATTTTCAATTGGAATTAAGTCCTACTACCTAGATATTACTTCTACTTCTATGAACGATGAGTTATAACAATTTCACAAATAGTTATTATAATAAATTTAATTAGGCTATTTAACAATAGTTTACATATTTACGAGTCGTAGGTTGTTGCTATAGTTTAAATTGCTATAGGCGATCTCGTTTGTATAATTCATATGCTTGTATTATTGACTTATTCTCATCCCTATTTGTATAAACCAATTAATATCAATTGTTGTATTAATTTTTATATAAACTCAAAATAACTAATTTATACAAACATAAACATCTGAACTTGAAATAGTTATACGAAATTATATCATACAAACCTACACGCTTATACAAACTGAAAAAAGTAAATGATGTAATTATCATTGAATATTGGTGGCAAGTGGTAATTAACAAAAACTATAGTTATAATGACTAAGTAACTAGTATATGTTTGCTTAACCGCGCAGTTTCCCTTTCTTAGAATGTGATTCAAAATAAATGTAACTGAAATTAGGTATACACACGAGAAGAAAAACCTAATTATACATATTTTTAATTTAATAATTTTAATCAGGCTTTAGGTTATCTTCTCTATAACTTTACTAGCGATCTTGTTAATTTGAAACCCAATTATTGTCTTGAATCCCTAAATTAAATTAATTTTTTTATTGTTAAAACGACACTTTTTTATAATATATAGTTTCTCTTAATATTTTATTATTTGCTTAAATTTAAAGTATAAGTTGAAGACATCTCAATGTTGAAATGCTAAAAGAGACTAAGAAAATTTTATTATCATAGTTCATTGTGCACAAGTAAAAAAAAAAAAAGTCAAAAACTAGATATGACCAATTCATAAATGTGTTGGCATATAAACTATTTTTTAAAAAAAAGAGACAATTCAAATAAATGTTGTTCTCTCTATATATAATATATACTACTAGTATAATATGTATACTCCTCCTAATGAGCAAGATTGTTTATACTATCACTATCTTTTTGCTCTTCAATATTAGCTTCTTGTATTGTAACTTCATCATCGTCTTCTTCTTGATCACCTTGGTCTTCTTCATCGGGAGAAAGCTTGATAATTAATTCGTGGTCATCCATTCGAACAGCCCAGATTTGAATCCTATCGCCTTTTTTGATTTTATTACGGATACGCATTTTAGTCCACTTCCCATTTTCAACACATAACTTACACTCATATTCATCTCCCATCTCCTTAATTCCAATTCGTCAATATCGAGGGACGGATCAATCACTCGTACTTTCTTCAAGTTCCTTCTGTTGTCATTACTCTTCTTCTTCATCTGTTAGAAATTTCTCCACGATTTGTATTGTTGGTATGGAGAGACGGTTATGAGGTTCACTAGCATCCGTTTTGTATATTTCTTTTTCGATCATCAATTTCACCTCTTTCTCCAACTGATTGATTCGATTCTTGACAATTTGGGGCATTGGGAGGATTTCCCCTGTTTCACATTTGAAATTCCTCTTTTTTCCAACAATACGGTATTTTTCTACTTGATCATAGTCTCTTTTTCTTGATATTATTCGTGCTTTAACTTGATCCTTGAGCTTTTTTTCTTTCATCAATAATATTTGTTGGTTAAATGGCTGTCTCTCCGTATACAAATACAAATTATACATATAAATATACAATTATATAACAGATATGAAAATACAATTAATCTTTCTCCACTCTCTGTCCTCTCTCGCTCGCCAGATATACAAATACATATGTATACCAGTTACAAATATGCATATACAGTTCGGCGTTCGCCTCTCTGTTCTCTCTCACCCGCCTCTCTCCTCCCTCTTCCAATCCCGATCACCAGATATGCAAATACATATGTATACCAGTTACATATATACATATACAATTCGCTTCTCTCCACTCTCTGTCCTCTCTCCTCCCTTTCCCAATCTCGCTCGCTTCTTTCATCTCCCTAACATGTAGCTACGAATCATAATTAGCAAACTATAGTAATGAATCATAATTAAATTAATTTTGAGTGGTTATTTGTGAAAATTCATCTTGAATTGAGTCTTGAGTCTTGACTATCGCCATTGTTTCCATGTGGAAGCATGTGATATGTTATCCTACTAACAATGTGTATATATTTATAATGGAATATAAATTCACTTACAACTTAAATTAATTAATTTTTTAGAATTAAAATAGTGCCAGACAATTGATCAGGGTTAATCAGACAATTGAAGGAACAAAGTAGAAATTAATCAACTGAATGTTAGTACTATTACCTACCATTCCATATAGTTATGACTTATGAGTTATGACATTTCGTTTTATGAAAAGTCCAACCAAATTATTTGTAGTACACTTTCTTTTTTGTCATTTTGATACGAGAAAGTTACTCTACCCATTTCATATTATATGTCATAATTTCATTGAACACGAAATTTAATAAAATAGAAAAAAATTAAAGAGTAATACAACTAGATATACACAATTACACATATAGACAATAATATTCTTTTAAAAATAAATTTAAAAAATAAGTAAGTCATATTAATTGAAACAAAGAGAATACACTTTATCCTACTCTTACGAAGTATCTAGTTGTTAGAACCAAAGAATGTTATATTTATTTTTCTGGGTCTGCACAATTAGAGAACAAAATCGAGACATATCTTGAATAGCTGCTCGATAACTTGAAGTTTTAGTATATGTATCCTCGCACACCTTTTTTTTATAAATACCCTGGATAAAAAAAGGTTGGTCAAACACTACTAAACCAAGGCGCGCATATATATCACATGCTATATCGCTTACCATAACATCTCCCTTTATAATGCCTCATGCCGTCACCTATGAGTCTGCATGGACTACGCTCTACAAATTTCAATAACATACCTAGTATAGTCTACGAAAAGAGAAAATAGTGGTATGCAAATCTAATTTGACAATATTTTAGCTTAAATTTTGAAAACTAGCTAGTGTGAATACACAGTTGTTTGAGCAAAATGTCTGACACTTGAAAATTGCCTGGTCCTCCAATATTTTGATGCCGTTGTTTTACTTTACTATTACAAATCCCAGTTATCTCTTTTCTGTCTCTCTGTCCTTGCAATAATTTCCTCACCTACCATACTTCAATTCAATTGAAAAAACACTGTCATTGTGTACCAAGAAAACAGATCAGAAAAATGACATGCAAATTTCTTGTTCTTATTTACCTCTTAATTTTATTTCTCGTACCAAAATGCATACTACCAAAATCAGTAATTGAACCATGTAGTGCATCTGATTCATGCCTTTCTTATCTCTCATATCGCGTTCCATGGGGATCCAAAATTTCCGAAATAGCTTTCAGATTCCGAATCAACGTCTCTGATCTCTTAGTAGCAAACTCTATCGACTCAAATCAACCAAATCAAATCCTATCCGAAAAATCATTATTAAAAGTACCAATTTCGTGTTCATGCGTGGATGGGATACGAAGATCTGTATCCACTTATTACACGATTGGTGCAACGGATACTTTGATGTCAGTATCGGAAGGGTATGGAGGACTTGTTAGTGCAGAACAAATAGGGAATGCTAATGGGATTGATGAAGAAAATACTTTATCAAGTGGACAGAGTGTTGTGATTCCTTTGCTATGTACTTGTTTTAATAATAGCAATAATGGTGCAGATAGTGTGTACATGTCCTATGTGGTGCAGAATGAAGATGAATTAACAAAAATTGCAACAGAGTATAGTGTAACAATTGGTAATTTGGAGTTCATAAATGGACTTGGCCAAACTCAAATTGATCCAGGGGATATTCTGGCTATTCCACTTGCTGGTAAGTAACCAAAACACACACACACACACCAAAAAAAGAAGAAAAAAAACGTGTTTTGTACTATTTTCTGATGAAGGATTCAATTGATTCCACCTACCATCCTCGTGTCATACTTATGCATAATGTAATACATGTAAAATTAAGATATTTCATATAGTAGTACTATTTTATTCATAATGTCCCCTGCAGCATGTTCATCAGCAAATCTGAATTGGTACAATGAAAGCCTAATAGTTCCCAAGGGTTCTTATGCTTTAACTGCTAACAATTGCATCAAATGTGGATGCAGACCTACTGATTTCAGGTAATCAACAATGAAATTAGTATAATGCTACAGATTTGCAATCAATTTAGTGATAAATTTCGTTTTTTTTGTTCTAATTGTTTTATGTTTGATCGAACATAGCCTGGAGTGTTTACCCTCAGGAATTGTGGAGAAATGTTCACATTTACAGTGCAAAGACTCCAATATCTTCATTGGAGAAGGACATGAAAATCATACAACATCCGGTTGCAATGTTACAGCCTGTATTTATCGTGGACATCTCGGAGGCAAAATATTTAGAAGGTATATACTCCCTCCGTCCCAAAATAAGAAATACTCTCTCTGGCCCAATTTATGTGAAAGAATTCAAAGTACGAGGGTCACAACACTTCATTGTCGATTTTAATTTGGATAAACTAGAGTAATATTTTTCTTTGTTTGGTTTGCAGTTTGGTGAATTCAACTGATGTCAAGTGTTTAGGTAATATTTCAGTTCATGGATATTTTTTTTAATCTTCTCAGTTATAATATTGGTGTTTTAGTTGTTTGATTACTTTTTGGGATGTGTGTAGGTAAAGAGAGTGAGGGTACAGGGTCACCAATGGAGTCTCCAGTAAGTAATTTGAGTCCATCACCATTATCTCCATCTCATTACTCACATTCACCCAAAAATCATTCATTAGGACTACTCAATTCCAGTTCTGCTCATAGACATACTCAAAAATCACTATCTCAACCATTACATTTTATAATCTTATTGGTTTTTGAGCTTGTCTTTGAAATATTCTTGTAAATAAAAAGATTATCTTGGAGTAAAAGGGATAATGAAAATCAAACTTCCACCTATGGTATAAAAGATTATTTTCTTTTTTTCCAATTTATATGGTACTTTTCACTTTTTCAATAATTACTTTGCCTAAGCTAAATTGAATTATATCAACTTAATATCTTTAAATTAACATTAAAATTAAAATATTAAAAAATATATGAAAACTACGAATATGCTGTATTTTCTTCTCATGTTAAGCAGATAAAAGAAATACACAATCTCAAAAAGCGAAAAATGCTACATAACTTAGAGATCATTAAACTATAGCTCAGTCCTGGTACATGGTAGGTGTGTGAGATTATTCTTCAATTATCCCTCCTATCGTTTTAGCTCTTTTTACGTCTATTAATAAAAAAGTACAAGGCATCATATAATAAATTGCCCAATATTTAATTTATAAGATATTTCTTGAGAATTTAGCATTATTAAAAAAAAAAGTAGTCCTTAAATAGTTGGAACTTGGAAACCTAATTATAATCGATAAAAAAAACAAATTGTTGCTAAAACGACAATACTTATTTTGAGACGGATAATATAGTTAACTAATTTGTTGGATCTTGATGAGTTCCAATCAGTTTCCACCGGCCTTAGTTTAACTGGTAATGTAGTCATTAATCAAGATGATGGGCACATGATGGCAATGACTCTGACTATACTGAATTGTGAGGTCCCCCATTAATCAAACTTAGAAACCATCTAATTTAGGGACCCCAATAGTGGGACAAAAAAGATAAAAGAGGTATTGTGTGTTTTTGGAACATAAATATTATTTGCTTGTGTTTAATTTAATATATAAGTTATGATACTGTAACTTTTATTTTTTAATAAAAGGTATATTCACGAAATAATATATAAATATGTCATTTAACTTGATCTCAATTGATATTTAAAATCATTAATTTTTAAATATATACCAGTAGACACTTATATACACTTGAATAAACAGACACATACATTTTACGTAATGTCTAGCAGTTACCTTGCATCACAGGTAAAATTGTGTGATTTTGAGGATTTGGTACACATGAATTAGACAGTTCTAACAACTTATTCACCACGTCAATTTGAGACAAGTGTCAGCATGTTTCTACCAGTACATTAATTTCATGCCTGTCTATTTTACTGTCAATTTATTGTTGTACCAAAGATTCTTTATATGAATGCCCATGACTTCAACAATTCACCTTCATCATTTTCTATCTTGTGTTCCAATTAATAAGATAATATTATTAAATCTATATTAATGGTGTAAAATTTATTCATATTATTAATACATTTTAATTTGTGGCAAGAGATTAATTATCTGCCTTTTTCAAAGTATTAATCTGGATTGTCATGGACAGTTACTTATGTTAACAGAAGAAGAAAAGAGATTGATGTATGTTTGTTGGCTTTAAACTTTGATAACAATTTATAAAAAAAAATTAGTTACAATCCGGAATTGCCATCAAAATTTATTTTAACACTTCGAGGGGTCGTTTGGTAGCTGGATAGAGTTATACATATATAAATAATGTGGGTATTAGTTATGTAGGTATTAGTAATGTGGGTATTAGTTATACAAGTATTAGTAATGTGGATATCAGTTATGCTAGTATTAACTATGCATGTATCAGTTATGCTAGTGTTAGCTATGCATAGTTTAGTTATGTAGGGTTTAGTTATGCATAAATTATTCATTTGGGTGTTGTTTTTTATATTAAAAATTAATAAAATTATATTTTTTTTAAATTATAACATTTTTTTACAATTATAGCCTTTCCTTCTTTAACTTTGTATTTAAATTAAAAATATTTCTTTAATTATGTAGAAGAAGAAAGTAGTCAAGTGGGAGTGATAAGGGTAATATTGTCATTTTAACTTTTTATCCATGTATTAGCTATACACATATTAATTATTCCACCTTCTACTCCGCATAAATAATACACAAATTTCCTCATAACTTATACATGTATTAGTTATACAAATTTCAAAATTGTCAACCGAACGTCGTATTAGTTTTATACATAAATAACTTTTTTTCTTATCCACCAACCAAACACCGTATTAATTATATACATGAATAACTTTTTTCTTATCCACCTACCAAACGTCGTATTAATTATATACATGAATAAAAAAATTTCTTATCCACCTACCAAACTCGTATATATATATATATATATACGTATAAGTTATACGGACTCTAATACATTGATAAAACTTGTTTTATCCAGCTACCAAACGACCCCTTACAATTATAAATTGTTTCAATTAAATACCCAAACATACAACAAAGTGTTCAAATTAAATATTTTTGGTTCCAATCATACGATATTCATCTCAATAAGTGTAAAACTCCGAACATTAGAAGCAAAAGTCTCTAATTGAAACAATTTGTGTTATGTGTTCAAATGCTCAATTGAAACAAATAATAATTCGAGCGTCTAAATGAAATATTGATAAGTTTATGTGACTCGCTATGTATTAAAATTTAAACCTAATATTTCTTATGATAAACTCCATATGTTTTCGTCTTTTGCATGTAAAAAATTGTGGATCTGGTTATCAAGATTCTGTTTCTTGATTTCTTACCACAAGAGTACTACTCCATCCATGGCCCATTATGCTTATAGCTGTTTCCAGATTTATTATTTTTTTTTAAATAAAAATAAATTAACATACAAATTAAAATTACCCTTTGAATAAATTTTGAGGCCATTTTAAAAATCTGTTACCATCCACTAGTGGATCAAGTGGAGGAGAACAATGGTTCAGATTTTCTCATCAAGCAAACATAAGTTGAAAGAGACAAAATAAAGGACCACACACACAAAAAAAACTTTTTAAAATTCTTATAACTGAAATAATTGAAATATAGAGACAAAAATGTCATAAATAACACTAATAGCAAGTCTTCTTCATTCACATATTAGAAATAGGTCCCATAAGAATCCTAAATTTAGACATTTAACCAATGAGAATACAGTGTTCAAGATGGATTTTAGAAATTCAACCAATCAACAATTAGATGTGCTAATTTATGGGACCCAAAACAGCTTAATCTTATTTTCTTCTTCAAGGAAAATATTAGCCAAAAGTGCATGGGCTCAACAAGTCGAAACAATAAACTGTTATATCATAAGCGGTTGTTGTGGGCACATAAAAATGAACAATTATTGTACTAACGGTCCTTTATATTATATTGAACTGTTCCGCTTTGTTTTTTGGGCTTGTTCAAATTCACTCTAATTAAATCCTCCGTAGCGTTTACCAATTTCACTATACTCTCCTTTCTTTTTGAAATTAGGATCTCGTTCTGATATTATACTAGGACGATTGTAAATGATGACTAGTGGAAGCAAGACGGCAAATGCTATTGGAGGAAAAACAGCTAGAGCTTGCGATAGCTGTTTGTCAAAGAGGGCTCGTTGGTTTTGCCCAGCTGATGATGCTTTTCTTTGTCAATCGTGCGATGTTTCGATCCATTCGGCGAACCAATTGGCGAGTCGCCATGAACGTGTTCGTCTCGATACATGTTCTAACAAATCTACCATTACCAAATTAGTCGACAAAACTCATCAACCTGCTTGGCACCAGGGATTTACTCGAAAGGCTAGAACACCGAGAAATGGAAAAAAGGCACAAATCAGGCAACGGAAAAAGAACGAGGAAAATCGGGTCCCGGAAATTGGCAGTGATGAAAATGAATTCGAAAACGAAGAGCAGCTGCTTTATCGAGTTCCGATTTTCGATCCGTTTGAAGCAGAACTCTGCAATGTGCCAGATGAAACTGGATCTATTGCTGATTTGGACATTTTGTTGAACACTGAAGATGCATGCGATGATTTGAACCTTCCTGAATTTCTTTCATCTGATATTGAGCTTGCTGAATTCGCTGCCGATGTTGAAACCTTGTTGGGAGGCGAAGAAGAACAGAGTACTCGGTTATTAAACGCGGATTTTGAAGATAACAAGGCGATTAAAATTGAAGTTGAAGACGAAGAAATGAGAGCTGTTGTTGCTTGTCATTTGGATCCTGAATTGGACATGGAAAGGGAAGGACTGAATTGGAACTTTGATGAATATTATGAAGAAAGAGTTGAGCAGAAAGTAATGGCAGCAGTAACAGAATTTGTCGCTAGTGCAGAGTACAGTGGTAGCAGTACTAAATCTGATGAAAAAAACAGACTGTTTCTCAGGCTTAATCATGAGGCGGTTATTAGTGCTTGGCCAAATCAATCTTCGCCATGGACTAATGGAATCCGACCCCATTTCAATCCTGATGACTACTGGCCCGATTTCTCGGTATTTTATTCTTCTTCCTCCACAATTATTGTTCGTGTTGTTGTATATAATAAAAGCAAAACAAAATTAGTGAGATATAAAACTTCAGAATAGAGGCAATTTTTTTTGTTGATTTATCATTGATATTTTTGTATATCTGTTGATTCAGGAAACATGTGGAGGTAATTTAGGATATTATGGGGGACATGTAAGAAGTGGCGATGGAGGAAGAGAAGCGAGGGTATTGCGGTACAGAGAGAAGAGAAGGACCAGATTGTTTTCCAAGAAAATTCGATATGAAGTTAGGAAATTGAATGCAGAAAAAAGGCCTCGGCTGAAAGGACGATTCATTAAAAGGAACTCATCGTCCTCCTTTTCAGTGCCTGGTTTTCCTTACATGATGAATAAACGATGATGGATGATGATTTGATCTTGTAGTTGATAGAGTTTGTATTACAACATCACCATTTTGCTTACACTAGCAATCTGGAATGACTTAGGTTCTTTTTATCATAACCTATATTGTTTTTATTCAATCAATAAAATAATTAATTCAGCTTTGGTTACATATATAATCTTAAGCAAATATATTTATTTTCCTCCCTATAAAGTATGCAATATCATTTTTACTTCAACGAATAAACTTGAAAATAAAAAAAAATATCTCAATCTGCAGCCACTTAATTAAATTTTAAAAGTTCATGCTACTAAACACTCGTTGTTAGATAAAGAGCTTATTAATATACCCTAATGACAATACAAAATCACCCAGCTAGTGCATGCATAATCAAATCGATAACAGATTGTATCAAGTCAAGCTACATCACATAAATTGGGATGAAGAGTTAGAGGAAATAAGAGTTCATGATCTTTAAAGGCGGTATATATACACGTGTCAAGTTAAAATTAATTCTGTGATTGAGGTTGATTAATATATACATATATATGTGTGTGTGTGGGAACTCGGAATAGACTGTAAACACAAATTGAGAGTGACACAAATTGTATCCATCGTTCCTTGTAATTCAGTCAGTTAAGACATGGGACACCCACCCCAATAAAACGTCGAATAATATTGCGCTCGCATTATTAATCATTAGACTACACTTTTGGTGCAAAATGCACCCCTCCTAAAATTTCATGATCTAAATAAAATGTCTTAGCACATATAATTATATATATTCCCATGAATTAGTAATTAGTACCACATTTTATTACGCTATTTTTTCCTGCAATTCTGATAGTTGATCCATTAATTGACTTCATATATGGAAATTACTTTGATTAAGATCTCAACATGTCAAAATTTTGCTTTTCCTGTATTGGAAGCAAATAATGCACTGTATGACCCAGTCAAATATATATGCTCCTTGTATTTAATTGGTCAATATATCCTATTAAATTAAGAAACCAAAAATAAGTAGAAATCGACTTTCATATACTAGAGAATTTTCGTCCTATTATATAATCGATCAAAGCAACAATTTTTTTTCAAAAAAATAAAACTCGTATCAAGAGCACCAAGTGCAAAGGTTGGACCCATTCCCATGGACAATACAAAAAAAAAAAATTGTTATGTCTGATCATGTGCACTAACAAGTAACAAGTTGTATTTGTTGCATATTAAAAAAACATAATACGCAGCAAAGATATTTGCAAGATAACTTGATAATATCTCTTTCTTTCGAGGGAAATTTATAAAAAATCTCACTAGCTCGTCACTTCCTTATGTGTTTGATACCATGAGTACATATTTAGTGTGATTCGCATGTATCTGAGATACAGAGCTATTTCAATTCCCATTTCGCTCATCTCTCTCCCAATTATAGTGTATCTGATAAAAAAAAAATGCATGTATCTAGGTATATTTTCCTCAATAAATAATAGGAAAGTCTTAATTAACGGTAAGATATGTAATTAGTTAAAGGAAAAATTACTTAAATACACAACTTATTTTACCATATTCTCTAAAATTCCTTATCATATGAAAAAATTACAAAAATTCTTACTCTCTCCTATTCTCGGATACATCACTTTACATGATGTATTGGTCAGATACATCATTTTACGTGATGTACCAGGACATACGCAATGTATCGGGATATTGAGTGGTGTATCCGAAACCTAGACGCGATGTATCGAAACGTGGAGGGATGTAGCCAAGACCGAGACGGGATGTATCGCGACATTTTGGGATGTATCCGAATTCCACTAAATTTAAGAAATTTTTGTAATTTAGAAAAAAGTATGAATAAAATGTAATTATCTTTTAATACTATAAAATTTGTGTAAAATTCCCTTATTTGAAAGTATAAATAAAACAAAAATTAGTATATATAATATGGATATACGTCTAATAAGATAGTTTATCCTTCTTTGAAACTCTACACTTCTCATTCTCGTGGGCCTTGGCCCATTTATCATGTCGGATCATTGAACTCTATTTAATAAACGAAATAGTAAAGTTGCAAAATATTTCTTGACACATTAAATAATTAAATTGTGTATAAACCAAACTGTGTATATTCCTCTTCATACATAAAATATCAAGATCTAAAAGAAGGGATGATATGATAAATGCTAAATTATGATCATAATTTAAGAAAATTTTCAGTATCTCTTTTCTCTGTGAGGGCTCAATATGTCTCATGAAATGAAATCCGACAAGCGAAAAAGAAACAAAATTGAACCATACATAGTACATGCCTGTGCCTGTGAAGCAAAGTTTGTTTATTACTTTTTTCAAAAAAAGGCTTAATGCATAGTCATCCTCTTAAAATTATCATGATTTTCTATTAAGGTTGGTTTCAATTGAAAATCTCAAACTCTAATTAAGTTTTTCATTTAGACACTTTCATTCAAATTTTGAAAAAAATAATTGTGTGTGATTCATCCGTCTATTAAATAGTTAAGTTAACCATTCACAATATGTTATTTTCTTTAATTATACACATCAAACTCAAATAGAAAATGTTGGGGGTTTACATCTTATTGAAATGAATGCATATAATTAAAAAAAAATGACATATTTTATATAGTTGATATACCTATCTAATAGACGAATGAGGGGGTTGTTCAGGTAAGTGTAAATATGTGACACTCTTGTCTTACTCGACCTCAAAAGTTAACTTGTATTATGAGTGAAAGATTATCCAAGTCCATATAAACAGATTGTCAATCCATTTTGAGAACCAATGTCGAATCTAACCCACTATTACATCCCTTCACACCAAGGCCCAATTGGAGCCCAAACGGGGATGGATCTGCCTCTGATACCATGTAAATATATCACATTTAGAACTAACTCAACCCCAAAAACTAGCTAATGAGGGAGGATTATCCAAGTCTATATAAATAAACAGTCAGTTCATTCCCCAACCAATGTCGAACTTTAACCCACACTAACAGTAAACATCCTTCAACTCCAACTTTAAGGTTGTGAGGTGAGTCACCAAGTGAACGAAAAGGAGAGACCTCCTAAAGAGGGTAGAAAAAAATAATAGTCAAATGAGAGAACACACTAATTTTTCTTTCAAAATTGAACTAAAGAGTGTAATTAGAACAGTTTATTAAAATTTGAGATGTTCAATTAAAACATGACTTAGTTCAATATCTAAATAAAATATCCCGATAAATTTTAGAAAGTATACCATGCCTTAAAAGTATAAAGGGAGAGAAGAAGTAAATCCAAAAATAAGGTCATGTCACAATCTCAGGAATAGGGGAATCCTAAAAGGTTAGAAGGAAGACAAATACAAAAGATTCAAAACATTCATACAAACAAGGGAAGGACGATTTAATTAGTCACGGAGGGACCAAACAAAATACTAACGACCTCAGATTGTTGTCTCATTCTTTTAATTCATCATTTCGACAACACTTTGACGTTAAAAGTTAGCGATTTATCAATAAGTAATGTTGCATCGTAATCATAATTAATGCAATTAAGATACTAATAAAAAAAGACAATTGTCATTGCTGGATGAAGATTGTTGAGATAATTACCCAATTCCATATATAAGGAGATTATAAGGTACGTAGAAAATCGAATCTTCGCCCGTAAAAGTTATATTTAAAATATTATTAAGATAATTTGAGATTTAATTAACAACACTATGTAATATTGACTAGTAGATTTCTTTAAAATTTTAATTAATTTAATCATGGAAAATACATTCTAGAAAAAGTGCATCGGCCCATCCCAACCCATGATGTATATATGTATCATTTGTTAAACATCAGTGTATATATATACCGTTATTTAATGAATGATAAATTTATTCTAAAAGTATAAAATTGAAAGATATATTTATACATTTTTTTCCCATTTTTGAATACATATATTCACTTCATTTAACAAATGATGCATATTTATTATTATCGCTATTGATGTGAACATGTATGCTCCCTCATTGTAAACATGTTCATCAAGAAATTAAAAAAAAAAACAAAAAACTAAATGATGCACGCGTAGCTCCATTCAAGCATTATTACAAGAGCAATTTTAGTACGGCTAGATTTAGTCAAAGATTTTATTTTTTTACTACGTATGTGATACAAGTAATGTTACTAATGTACTACACCAGCTTTTCTTTCCCATGTAGAGTCATATCAAGTGACAAAAGCAAACGACAAAGAGAAGCTTGATCACGTCACATAAGTTAGTTTGATTTGATACGAAGTTTAAGGAAAAAAAATAAAATTTGAAACTTAGGATTTAAAATAAGTAGTATGTATTTGTATGACGACTATAAATTATTTCATTAAAGATAAATTGAGTATTTTAAAGTTAAATTGCTACTTAATAAAGAAACAACAAAGGGTCAAATATACCCATGTACTATTAGAAATAGTTTAAATATACCCTTCGTTATACTTATGTCTAAATATACCCCTCCAGTTATTCGAGGGGTACATTTAAACTAATTGTAAATATGGGTATATTTGATCATTTGTTGATAAAGAAATGTGTCATTTATTTTTTGGACTGACCAAAAATGAAAGTAAGTCGTAAATGAATTGAGCATCAGCTTCTTCAGCCAAAGGATCCATTAGGCAATAGACAGAGGCTTGTCTGCATGAATCATGATTCCCAAACTTCAAAAAATGATTAGAAGTGGCATAGCTATGTTGCCTATTGTTATAGGTTACTAGGTAGCTCAAAGATTCCATACCTACCTACCCTACCATTTTATCTAAGTCCAACTTCATGTATAAATAGCTGATGGGAGGGAAGCTTCAAGTTCCACATACACACACTAAAAAGAAACAAAAAGAGAGAAATGTTGTTCCACTAGTAAGTTTTTTCTTCTGTTTTCCATCCGTTCTCCGGAGTCCACATTCTCAACTAGTAAGTTAAGAATGTGTAGATTTAAGTAGGAGCTCCTTTCAGGCCAAGACCGAGGGACGAGGAGCGGCATGAGCTGCCTAGTCATGCATATTGGTTAACCTTAACAAACATATATATAGAGTGTTAAGAATAACCAGTTGCATGCCAAGGGAGCAACTACTTCCGCTAACTTGTCTCACTTATTGGACTGAAGGGAGCTCCTACTAAATTTCACATATCATACAATTCGTTCATAGTTAAATTAACTAAATAAAATATGATAATTTTAACCTTAGCTTGTTCTAGCTAGTTTAGCAGTACTAACATTTTGATAATATAGTGAGTAAGAATTTTATGCTCTAGTAGTTAGGCAACTTTTCAATCGACTTCTCCATGGCTCTCAATTTTTTCGATAAAGGTAATCTCTTTCTTTACTTATATACCGTTGCTTTAATTGCAGTATATATATATACAAAAAAAAAAACAGTATATATTATACATATATGTATCAGTGATACTCTTGTTAATTAAACATGAAAAAAAATAATCTCTAATCATTGTGGTGGCAGAGGTTGAAAGATAGACATCAACAAGGCGTCGAGGAACTCAATTAAGATGAGAAATACAATGTATATAGAATATATACATTCTAAGACATTAATTTGTTTGGACTTACTCTTTTGTATACTACATGTTGTGTAGCATAAAAGGCAATATTTAGTTGGGACTCAACCCATTTGTTTTTGGGTTGGTTGTGTATGTAATTAAGATGATTTTGGGCCTAGTCAGCTTCATATTTTGGATGGATTCACACATACAAATGCATATATAAAAGCCCAACTCAGTAGCATACAAGTTGAGAGCTCAATGAGTAATTATGATCATACAATTATCCACTTGTACCTAGTTAGCTTGGACGGACCTATAATAGAACTTGATTTCTTATATTATTATACGTGTATTATCTCCTAACAACAATGTATTCCTTATTGGATGAATTATTGGTATCGTTAAGCCTACACATTTGACTTGGACAAATTATGCTGAATCCGATGGCAATATACAAATTTTTAATTAGACCTAATGAGAAATCAATCAACATAGGCTTGTTTGGTCACGAAAGTTTTCCTTTTTTTTTTATCAAACGCCCACTTAAAATAGTCTTGATTAGTCGATTGCCTAGCTAGGTACAATCATGATGTAATACTATTACAATTTGCATTGGTAAAAAAATCTATTAACCGACGAATCCAAAAGCGGTTAGAGAGAACCAATTACCTTTACAACTCAAAATAAACAAACATAGATAATGTCAAAATATTTGTGATGATAACATGACAAAAAATATTGTTTCTTTTGTACGTTATAAAAGGTGAATAAACCAGAAACTTCGATGAAACAAATAAATTAATTGATCAGAATTTTTTATTGTAAGGGATATAATTTATCATCTTATAAACCAACTACCAAGTAAATGAAAGGTAGCTATTCGTAACACACCAAACATATTCTAGTTTTTCTTAAAATATTAAGAAACAGCCAAACATATTATGAATTTGACCGTAAGTTTAACTTCTCAATGGAGCATAATTTCAACTAAATAGAACCTAGCTACACATCACAACTGGTACTAAAGTAAATTCAAAAATAATTATTACTGTATTTGAATACAAGTTCATCCATTTTCCTATTTGATTGGAGATATTAAATAATTCTGAGATTATTTGTTCCATTAAATATCGTGTTCCGTTATTTATATATTAGTGATGAGATAACTTAACTCATATACATGATAAAATAACTTATCGCAGAAAAATCTATCTCAAAATAACTTGTACCCCACCCACGAAAAATAAATAGTTTCGAGATAAGGAAGGGTAAATGTAACTTAGATTTGTATAATCATATCTCTATATCTAACATTCACATTCCACATGGACTTCTTTTACTGCAAAAAGAATTACTAAAAGAAATACAAATCTACTTAGGAATAAACTCTAATAATATAAATAAAAAAAACCACCTTCCAAAAACTAGGGGCTCTCACAGGATTATCTTAAATTTAAACCCGTCAAAACAAGCTCCAACAGTTCTATTATACACGTGGCCTCATCCAGGCCGTTCATTCGTTCATCAGCTTCTCATCAACGGTAACAACCCCAGCGTTAGTTCCAAGCCAACATCGCTCGAAGCTGGAAAGGCTTCAACAGTCTCCACCGAGCCGCTATCCACATCACCGCTTTCTCCTTCCCGGCTCGGCTCTTCCGTCCGCTGTTGGCTCAGACCCGAATTAAGGCTCGGCGACCCGACAGCCTCTTCCTCCTCTTTATGACACCAACTCCACATCACCCTAGCCGCATCGTCAACGTCCGGCGACTGGTTCCTCGGCTCCGGCTTAGCCGATACCCGCTTAAACCGGGTTTTCGACTTAACTTTGTGCAGATCGGGATCAGAGTTATTTTCTCTAGACACGTGGCGAATATCACATGCTTTAAGCGAAGGGCTCGTTGCATCTGCAGCCGAGTCGACTGAAAGTTTAACAATCGGCGCACCGTTTAGAACGGCTTCAACAGCAGCTTGACAGAGAGGCCAGTTGCCGGAAGTTAACAAACCAGTAGAACCGTAAATTGGATTTACAATACGGCCACAAGCTTCATACAACAACGATCTGAAAATAGCTGCAATCAACAAAATCAAAAATAATCATGATCACATCTAATTAGTACATTTTTGCTACTTATAAAATTATATGCAAAATTTTACTAACCAGGACGCAAATGGTCAGGTCCAGAATTGATGAGATTGAGAAGCCCAGCACGGCCATAAAACTTAGCGAGGAAAAGAGTGGCGTTGGATTGAGCTTCTGGAGATTGTATCCATTGAAGACAAGGTTTAATGGAGCATTTTTCATTGCAACCTTTCCGGAGAACCCGGCAACCATTACAGCTTAAACGCATAGTAGCTTAATAGAGAAGAAAGATCAATTTTGTGGGAGAAATGGAAGAGTTGTTTATGGAGTTGAGAAGGAGAAAGAGTTGATATATATATTGTTGAAGAAGGAATTGATTTTCCATGTGAGGGGATTGGAAGTTATAAGGGGCGCCCGCAAGTGGTTTTAGAACAGTGGTATCCTGGGAATATTTCAAATCATTTAGCTGTTTCAAGTATTTCGGAAAAGCTTATTCACCCACTTTTCAAATATATATTACTCATATTTTAATTTTTAATTGACATTTTATGCATACGACACTACTTGTGAGCTGCTTGTTAAAAATAATTTGCAAAAACCACGTGTAAGTTGCTTAAAAAATCTGCTTACAAAGTTAGATGTAAGTTGTTAATAGAAATTTCAAATTTACTTACAAAGTTATTTATAAGTTAGCAATTTACTAAACTATTTATAAATTATGAAAGTAATAAATAAATAAATATTCGTAATTACATGTATTCAAAGAACTCTCTATTCTTTTCATTGTCTTGTGAGTTTTGGATGCTTATATGTTATTTTCTTTATGAATGATCCATAAATAGGGTTGTATTTTTCTTAACTTGTAATGGTGTTACCCATTTCCCAAACATCTAATATACCTCCTCTTTAAGAAAGGGATCTTCTTACATCTCGTGTATAATCCGTGGAGGAGCTAGGTAGGGTTTGTGGTTTTGAACGAATTCAATAGTTTTTTTGTAGATTCTATATTTGTATTAGAAAAATAAATACATATATATATATATATATATATATATTACT